AGCGATACGAACTCATCACGAGCAATACCAATCACCTGCGTTCGGAGCTACTCACCTGTGCGAGAAACTAATCACCTGCGCGCGGGAGACGGGCTGCGCTCGTCCCGCCGACTTCGCCGCGCCGACGATCGCGGGGGGGTTAGGGATCGCGAACGGGATCGCCGGGTAGAGGAAATTCCGGCGGGGGAGCGGGATTTCCGGCGAGGGGGGGTTCGGGAAGCGGAGCGCGATTTCCGGCGCCTGCCAGGGGGCGACCTCGAGACGGATCGCGCCATGGATGGATACTAATGAAACGCAATTTCTGCTAACAGTTCTAAAGAGACGGACTTCCTCCTGATACTTCTAAATGATTTGTAACCTCACCACAAAGCGGGAACGTCTCATTTTTTCCTTTCTACCTGGTTCGATGTCTACAATATCGTTGCGACTTGATGCGCATTGGTGCGCGTGCGGGAGTGAGTGGATGAATGTCCCAGGCCATGCATGATACGGTAGTTCTTTGTGCGAAGAATTGCGAAGTGCTGAAACACAAGAATGAAATACTTCAGTGCTGAAGTGCTCAAGTGCTGTACAACAGGGCTGTGGATTGCTCTGGGGCGAGAACTTGGAAGGCTGAGCTGCCCCGAAATGTGCCCTTAAATTTACGTTTTGGGCCGAACTCAACACTTGAAATCAGGGCTACAAAGTGTTATGCACTTTTGAGATCGTCCTGGATTTGCACTGCCATCCGGATTGATTCGTCACGCGCCTGATTGTCACTTAGCGGAAAGAATCGGCAACAACGCCGAACCCGCTCAAAGTTGTAAATGTGAAGTGAAGTGTTGGGACCTCTCTAGTACTTGAGTAGCCCTGTCCTAGATCTAGCACTAAGTTTTCTTCTATACTACTTTAGGTCCTTTCTGACTTGCAGCTCGGATTCTGACTTCGAAAAATAACGGTTCCGGCCCCGACCTTGAGAGTGTGAGAGTACGTCGGAACTGGCTCTTGGGAAAGTCATTCTGCAGGGTCGGGGAGGAATCGGCTCGAAGGGGAAAGGGCTAGCCCGAAGACTGATACTTGAAATCCGGGCTAGTCCCTAACACAGCACTTTAGGCGGACGGGCTGACCTGAAACCCAAAACTTAGATTCGGGGACCTAGCGACAGCCCTGCTGTACAGCCCTCCATTTCTGATACAAATCAATACTACAAAGCATTCCCTGAATTCTGGAAAGTACGGCAAACAGCATATATTTTTTTGGGTTGCGAAGCAACCCTTTACGATCGATTTTGCAAGATTTTATTTTCATGTTTATCATTTTTAATAGAACATGAAAATAAAATCCGTAAACTACAGTACCCTTCCCACACGTGTGCATGTTGAAGAATTTTAAATGTTGTTCACAATATATTAAATCATATGTTTTTCTGGTCAGTGGTTTGGTGAATATATGCTGTACTGTTATATATTAGTATGTGCTACTATTAAATGGTGCTGTGGTAGTGATAAATAGATGCATGATGCATAAATAATGCTATATGATGCATAATGTTTAATAGTGTGATGTCATGAATCATGATGCACATGCATGCACACAATAAAATGCGTGACAGTTAACGACCCAAAAACTAAGCTACCGCCATCCCCTGCCTAGCATGGGGGGGAGGTCAATAGCATAGATTTTGAATAATCAACAATCACATGAAACAACACACTCTGTGAAATCTAAAAAAGAAGTCAACTCTATCAAATCTAGTTCGAAGTGGTCGCACACGAGTCACTGAGTGCGCCAATGAACCTTATGTGAAATGATAGATCTGAGCTTTCTTTTTAAAGATCACAGACATGCATTGTTAATGCAACCATACATGGATATGAATGCACATGCACACATACAAACATGCAAACACAACCACAAGCATACGCACACAAACCTGAACACTCGAACGAAATAAACAGAAACATGCAAGGAAATATACCAACACAAAACAATTATCCTACAGAACATCAGCCACTGGTATAGTTTCATATTCCAAATGAAAGTGGACTTCTTGAAGGATACAGCAAAGTCTCCGAGGAGAAAACAGGGAGAGAAATGGGAAATAGAATGGGAAGAAAAAAAAAGAGACTGAAATAACCGATGAAAACGATTTGGAGATTGAAAACGACGGATGAAAACGGATTTGTAAGAATCAGCAGATACACATTTGAACATCAGTGAATAAAGTTGGAATCAAGAACACAAGACTTACACACCACACACTAATTTGCTGCTGCCTATAAAGAAAGGGTAACGAAGAGCTATAGAAAGTGGGCGGGAGAGAACTACATGAACAAAAAAAAACGGTAGTTTGGATGCAACCAGAAACGGTAGCTTTGATTGAAACGAGAGTGATAGAAAGTGAGAGAGAACGAAAGAGAGAGAACGAGAGAGAGAGAGAGAGAGTACGAGAGAGAGAGAACGAGAGTGATAGAACGACAAAGAGAGAACGAGAGTGAGAGAACGACAGAGGGAATACGACAACGAGAGAACGAGAACGAGAGAACGAGAGAGACAGAACGGAAAAGAGAGAACGAGAAAGAGATAAAGAGAGAGAGAGAGAGAGAGAGAGAGAGAGAGAGAGAGAGAGAGAGAGAGAGAGAGAGAGAGAGAGAGAGAGAGAGAGAGAGAGAGAGAGAGAGAGAGAGCGAGAACGAGAGAGAGAGAACGAGAACGAGAGAGCGCGAACGAGAGAGATAGAACGAGAACGAGAGAGAAAGAAAGAGGGAGAGAGACATAGAGAGAGAGAGAACAAGAGCACGAGAGAGATAGAACGAGAATGTAAGAGAGAGAGAACGAGAGAACGAGAGAGATAGAACGAGAGAGAGAGAGAACGACATGCTGCTCGGGTCGAGTTAATTTCAATCTGGCTATCAAGGCAAAGAAGGTTGGCGTTCAAATCGACCTAACAAAAACATAAGATGAAAGGAAGTAAAAACGTCAATGAAATATGCAAATACGAGACTGTAAGCATGCAACACAGGAAAGAGGCGATGAATACTTGAAGCATGGATGCAATCTAGTGAAAGACCTAAAGCTAAAGTATCTACAACAATCCTAGAACCTAAGCCTTAAAAAACCTGCGGCCAATACTATGTTAAACGACTACGATATGAGAGTGAGAAATGTTAGTCTAGCTTGTAACGATCTGATTTTGTTTGATTTGATTTTCTTACCTTGCACTAGTAGGTGGAGCGTGTCTGGCGGGGAGCTCATCTATCCAGAAGGAGCAGCGAGAAAAAAAAAGGAACAAACAAACCCTAGAGCAGTTTCTGATTCGTCGCAAAGCTTTAAGTCCAATTAAATTATTTGTTCATGCCAACATCAGTACTGTTGCAGATGATTGAAATTGGAAGGAAAATCGAAAAGTCTCCGGTTCGACTCCTGCAGATGCCTCTTTCATTACTCTCCAAGTGAGATGAAGTACATCTTAGTGTCATACTACAGCATCATGTACAGATTTAGTTGTACAAATGTATGTAAATACGCAAAACGCTTCGCAACCCTAAGACGATTTCGTCGCCTCTTGTTTTGGATACGGAAAAGTACACAAGGATAATGTACAAAACGCAACAGGCAGTCGTAACTGTGTCTGGAGGGAAGATATACAGTACCGTGTACCGCAGATTCCCTATAGCAAACCTACGGTGGTTGATGAGTCATACTTGGGTTGTTCCAAATAGCATGGTATATCTCAACGCCCCGACTACATCCGGGTGCAAAAACGACGCGGCTCGGGAAAGGGATCCGCCACCCTGCGTCATCCTGTCCGGCTAACTGAGTGCATGTCCTGGGCGAGGAGCGTCACCCGGCAATCCCGATGAAAAATACCCCGATAGCACCTCTCAACGGACCCTCCGTACGAGGTCGACACGTCGACCACGCCGGTCGCGGCCAGCGTGCCACGACGTCCACCTAGCCATCGGTGCGGACTGCGACGTGAGGCCCACCGCGACTTCTGGCCGACCACTGTGCTGGCGCGCAGAGCCACACGTCGCCCATCCGAAACACAACATTCCACGCGGCGAACATCGATCGGTAAACGTCTGTCCACGCGGCGATCAAGCCTTCGCCGACCTGCTTGCGGGAACGTCCCCGCGGGATACCATCGTCGGCCGACGCGATGAGCACTGCTGCGTCACGCCGACGTGTAAGCACGGTTCACCGTGACGGGAACACCGGACAGTCCGCTGCGAAAAAGACATGAGTGCCCCGTGCCACGTCGACCATTGCGCCGCCGTGCCGTTCTGCCTTGCATGCAGAGTTGGAGACCTGCCGACGGATCGCCCGCCAACACCTGTCCGCCCGAACCGCGACAGTGGCTCTCTATGCTATGACCCCTTGACGGCCAAGTGTCCATGGCATTTCGACACTTGTTTGTTGCGTTGCATTCATTTCCATTCTGGTGAGCCACATTTCCCTTACTCATTTTCACGCTTCTCGGTGACCGACCGAGCCACGCCAGTGTAGAGTGCGTTTAGGTCGGCAAACTTTACGGGCTTCCGACTTAGGATCATTCCGACTAGGACGACTAACTAGGTCGACAACAACCGAAAGTCGCCGACCTCTTTCTTCAAACCCACAACCAGTATTGTCATCGCCTGTGATCCCCCGTGCGGCCTCGAATGGTCACGGACCAGTCTAACAACATCCCGCCGGACAACGCCCCGCCGAACGATACATTGCCACTTCACACCCCGCCGACCATTGTGCCGCCGACCACGGCCACTCCGAACATCACCTAGCAGTACACCAATCCGCCGCCCTTACTTCCCGAAATTCCCGAACTGACCGACATTGCCGCGGAGTTGACGATCGCCGAGAACGTTGAGAGGGCCGAAAGACGGGCGGCCTTTAGGGCCACGGTGCGAAGGCAACACACGGCAGCGATTGTGCAGTATCGACTTTAGTGGGCTGAGCACGTACCGCCGCGAGATCGCGGCGACAACTAGAGGCCGACGGGAACAACTCTACCCGCCGAGATGGCTGGCGTCGCGCCGCCGGCGGGGAGCAGCGCGATTCCCGACCTGAACGAGCCTTTCATGGAGGAAGATGTACACACCGCTAGGGCAAATATTCCCACCGACATGGTGGTCGACGTAGATGCCGCTAGGGCAAAAATTCCCGCCGACCCGACCATCCCCCTACCGCCAGGGACGAAAGGGGCTCCCGAACCCGAGCCGGACCGGTACTCGCCGCGTTCGGACACGGAGCAGCCGCCGCCAATTGGACCATTTCCAGAAAACGACTACATGTATCTGACCGTAGAGGACTTGTTGGCAGCCGACGAGAAAGATGACGCCTTCCTGCAAAACATTCCGCGCGACGATTTTGCGGAAGCCGCCTTCGGCATCAACAAAGAGCTCGCCAAGAAGAACAGATTGCTAAGGATGATGTGGGGTTTCCGGTATCTCGACACGCTGGAGGCGAGAACGACCCGGATTCAGTACCTGCGGGCGCTGCTCGACTTCAGGAGATGGTGCTGCGCGAACCTTCCAAGACAGCAAACCGCCAGAGTCAAGGGGGACGGCGTGCTGGAACACGAGGACGAGATAGGGAGGTACATCGACGAAGACATGGGTGATCAGTGGCACACCGCCAAGGGCGACCTACAATGGATGCACGGTTCCCGCGTCAATGCCACGCGGATCAGGGCGTACATTCTGTCAATCGCGAGGCAGCATGGTATTGCAAAGGCCGAGGAGCTCGAGGAGCTGAATCCCAACGTCCGTGTCCAACCCCTGAAGCCGACAACCGTTTCGATGCTGCTCATCCGCATCAAAGCGCTCCAGACAGCCTGCAAGGTCGAGGGGACGCTCTTCGGGGTGAAGGAGCTCCACATCATGTACGACATCTCCGAGGTCCACTCGGAGGTGCGCGCGATGGTCAGAGAGAAGTGGCACAGGGACGACAGGTAAGTCGGCAAGTCGTCCTGCGCGGTTCACGCCTGTTTCCCGGTTCGCCCAGCTAACCCAGTCCTCGTGGAAATTGATGTGCAGGGATTGCGTCGACCGGCACCGCGGAACGCTCGGCGACACGTACACCACCGACCAGATCCGCCACCTCATTTTCAAGGTCTTGCCGACTTGGACAGCTCGGGCGTACGAACCCAAGGCGGCCACCCCCTCCCAGACACTGTGGAAGTTTCTGCTGATGAAGACGATGACCCTCTTGGGTCACCACACCCTTCTCCGCGGAGGCAGTCTCCGAGCGATCGAGCTCCCCGACCTGTTTTTGTACAGAATGGGGAGCGCGTTGCCAGAGCACTCCACACGACGGCCGGTTGTCATGGTCGTCGCGTCACGAAACTCCAAGACGAACAAGGATGCTCGTCTGCATCACAGCTACGCGGCGAGACACCTGGAGCAAGAGATGTGCGCCGTCGGTCACACACTGTTGTGGCTGCACTTCGTGTACGGCCAGCTGAGCCACTCGCCCACCTCTCGATGTGTGCCGCCCCTCGACTTCACAACTCCGTACAGCTGGTATCACAAGCACCTCTTTCATGCTCGGAACGACAAGGCACAAAAAGAGCTGCCGTCATCATCTCATTCTCGGATCACGAAAGAGATGTGGCGGACGAACAAGATCTTCATCACGCGCAACACCCACGCCGCCCGGGCGGGTGGGGCACAGGAGCTGGCCAACGACGACGTTCCGCGATCTGACATCGCCGACTTGGGCCACTGGGCGCTCGACAAGCTCGCGAAGAGCTACATCAGGACCTGTCAGATTACTATAGCTGATGCATGTTTGTAGGCTATAGTGGGGTAGCACATATGGGGTACAGCTTTCTAGAGTTGTATTTGTACCCAACCCTGACTTAGTCATTTCATTCCTGTTTGCTTATTCTCACATGGTATAGAGCGGGTCCTTCTAAGGACCGTTTTTTTGGGCCCACCGAAGCGCCCCCCGAGGCGCGATTTTTTTTTAGCGACCCATCGGGACGCCATTTCCCCTGCGGCCCAGCCGCCTTCACTGACGCGGCCCCGCCGCCGGCCCTTACGCGGCCCCGTCGCCGGCTTTCACGCGGCCCCGCCGCCGGCTCTGTCGCGGCCCCGCCCCGGCCTTTACGCGGCCCCGCGGCCTGCTCTCACGCGGCCCCGCCCCGGCTCCTTCGCGACCCCGCCACCTGCTCTCGCGCGGCCCCGCCCCGGCTTCTACGCGGCCCCGCCCCGACTTTCACGCGGCCCCGCCGACGGCTTTGTCGCGGCCCCGCCCAGGCCCTTACTCGGCCCCGCCGCCTGCTCTCACGCGGCCCCGCCCCGGCTCCTTCGCGGCCCCGCCGCCTGCTCTCGCGCGCCCCCGCCCCGGCTTTCACGCGGCCCCGCTGACGGCTCTGTCGCGGCCCCGCCCAGGCCCTTACGCGGCCCCGCCGCCTGCCTCCGTCGCGGCCCCGCCCCATCCCGGCCCAGCCGCCCCTTCGCGGCCCGGTCGCCTCCTGACGGCCCCGCCGTCCCTTCGTGACGGCCCCGCCGTCCCTTCGTGACGGCCCCGCCGTCCCCTCCTGACGGCTCCTGCCGTCCCCTTCTACCGGCCCCGCAACTGCACCTGCTGGCCCCGCCGCTGCACCTACCGGCCCCCACCACCCCCCCCCCTTTTCCCGTCGCCCGTCGCGGCTCCTTCGGGGGCCGCAAGCGGCCCCCGAAGGAGCCTCGACACGCGACGGGAGAGGCCAGCAGAGGGGTGTCAGGTGTGTGGCCTCCTCTGCTTCTCCTCCTCCTTCATCTCCCACTGCAGCAGCCGAGCCGCTCACCTGCAGCAGCCGAGCCGCCCCACCGCCGAGCCGCCCTGCACCCGAGCCGCCCAGCAGCCGAGCCGCCCTGCCGCCGAGCCGCCGGGTCGCTGAGCTGCTGAGCTGCAGTTGCTGCCGAGCCGCCCTGCCGCCGAGCCGCCGAGTCACCGAGCTGCTGAGCTGCAGTTGCTGTCGAGCCGCCTTGCCTTCGAGCCGCCCGAGTCGCCCGAGCCGCCGAGCCGCCGAGCTGCCGAGCCGCTGAGTCGCCGAGCCTACTCTTCCCACCACTGGTGAGCTCTTGCCCTGTTAGCACGCTGCGCGTTGCCTGCTTGCCTGCCTGCCTGCCTTTTGGCTTGCCTGGCTGCCTGCCTTCCTGCTGCTAGTCCTGCTCCTGCTTCTACTTGCGGAGCCAGATGCAGCCCCAGCGACGCCTGCGTGAGTCCCTCACGCCCCAGCAGCTGCGTGAGTGGTACGCTGGTTGGGGCTGTAGGGGTGGCGGCGCTACTCCTACTACCACTCCTGCTGCTTCTACTCGTGGTGGCGGCCAGATGCAGCTCCCGCGACCCTCTCGCGTGTCTCTCACGCCTCGCCAGCTTCGTGAGTGGTACGCTCAGAGTGGAGGGTCTCTCAGTGCTGTTCGCTGCTCTTACGTGATACGCACTGGTACTCGGACTGGTCGGCCTTGTGGGACACGTAGTCATACACCGTCCCGCTGCTTCGCCCGTCTGAGCGACGCCTGGCGTACCGTGTTTGGCAACGAGGCTGAGCTTCCCGACTGGGTGGAGTTGCTTAGGCAGAGGGTCGATATATATGCTCTTGACTATGATGCTATTCTCACTGCCATGTATGCATTGCCTACTAGTGCTGAAAGTGCCGGTCACCTGTGCGTCCCGCCTGACCTAGGTATAGGACCTGCTGCTCTAGCTACTGGTGAGGCTGCTGCTCTGGGTGCTCGTGAGTCTCCTGCTCCAGGTACAGGTGCGGCTGCTGCTCTAGGTGCTAGTGAGTCTGCTTCCTCAGGTGCGGGTGAGGCTGCGCTCTCAGGTACCGCGTTGGCTTCGGCCTCCCTCACCTTTACACTTGACTCTGGGGCTTCTCGCTCCTTCTTTCGGGACCGCACCACACTCACGCCGCTTGGTCGGCCGGTTGCAGTCTCCCTGGCTGACCCCTCTGAGGGTCCTGTCCTCGCTCACTTTTCCACTGTCCTCCCGTGTCCGGCTGCCCCCTCGGGCACCCTGTCTGGCCTGTACCTCCCCTCGTTCTCGACGAACTTGGTGAGTGGTGCAGACCTACAGGATGCGGGGGTTCACCAGTTCACTCCTGCGAGTCAGCGGGTGACCCACTGCACGGACGCACGCACAGGCCGGCACCTGGCCACGTTCTCGCGTCGGCCGGGGTCGAGCCTCTACACCCTGACCACTGAGTCTCCTCTTGTCCCCGCGTCCGGTCAGGTAGCAGCGTCGGGTCAGGTGTTTGCTGCTGCGTCCAGGTCTGGTCCTGAGTCTGCCCCCTGTTCGTGTCGCCTCCTGTCTCACGAGACTCTTCTGTGGCACCACCGTCTAGGCCACCCCTCCTTGCCCCGTCTTCAGGGCATGGCTTCCCGTGTCCTTGTCTCTGGTCTTCCCCAGTCTCTCCCTCCCCTTCCTTCGGGACCAGGACCTTCCTGTGTCCCCTGTGTCGAGGGGCGCCTCAGGGCTGCTCCTCACTCCTCCCAGTTTCCCCCGACAGAGGCTCCTCTGCAGACGCTTCACATGGACGTGTGGGGCCCGGCCCCCGTCCGTGGGCAGGGTCACGAGCGCTACTTCCTGTTGGTGGTTGACGACTACTCGCGTTACACCTCAGTGATTCCCCTTGCGCAGCAAGGGTGCTGTCACTGAGGTGCTGATCGACTGGATCCGCGAGGCTCGTCTCCAGCTCAGGAGGAGCTTCGGCTCGGACTTTCCTGTTCTGCGTCTGCACTCTGACCGCGGTGGGGAGTTCTCCTCTCGCCTTCTGCGAGCCTACTGTCGTGCACAGGGGATCCGCCAGACCTTTACGCTTCCGGACTCTCCACAGAAAAATGGGATTGCTGAGCGCCGCATTGGCATGGTCATGGATGTCGCTCGTACGTCCATGATGCATGCGGCTGCCCCCCACTTTCTGTGGCCGTTTGCGGTTCGGTACGCGGCGCATCAGCTCAACCTTCACCCCAGGGTCTCTCGGCCCGCGATGTCCCCAGTGTTACTGTGGACGGGGAAGGTCGGCGATAAGTCTGCGTTCCGTGTCTGGGGATCTCGGGCGTTTGTCCGCGACTTGTCTGCGGACAAGCTGTCCCCCCGTGCTGCTCCCTGTGTCTTCCTTGGCTTCCCCCCTGACGCTCCAGGGTGGCAGTTTTACCACCCCTCCTCTCGTCGTGTTCTGTCCTCCCAGGACGTCACGTTCGACGAGTCAGTCCCCTTCTACCGCCTCTTCCCCTACCGTACTCCTTCCCTCCCCCCCCCACCGGACTTCCTGGTACCAGTTCCCCCCCCGGTAGACCCCCTCCCCCCTCAGGTTCCTGCCCCTTCAGGTGTGTCCCAGGTCGACACGGTCGGGCCAGTCGAGGTTGCTGCTGAGTCTGGTCCTGCCGCGGGTGCTGAGCCTGGGGGTGCTGCTGCTGGGGGTGCTGAGCCTGGGGGTGCGAGGCCGGGGGGTGCTGAGTCTGGGGGTGCTGAGCCGGGGGGTGCTGAGCCGGAGGGTGCTACGTCAGGAGCTGCTGAGCCTGGGGGTGCTGGGCCTGGAGGTGCGGAGCCTGCGCCTGCTGGACGTGGGGGCTCTCCGGTTCTTCGGTCTCGGCGGGAGCCGCTCTCTCCACAGGAGCTGCGCGAGTGGTTTGCTCGCCGCTGGAGGCGTGCTGCTGGAGCTGGAGCTTCTTCGCCTGCTGAGGGTGCTGGTGCTGTCGGTCCCGGAGCTGCTGGGCCTGCGGGTCCTACTGGAGCTGGAGCTACTGAGTCTGGGGGTGCTGAGTCTGGAGCTGCTGAGCCTGGAGGTGCTGAGTCTGGAGCTGCTGAGCCTGGGGGTGCTACGTCTGGAGCTGCTGTGCCTGGGGGTGCTGAGTCTGGAGCTGCTGAGCCTGGGGTTTCTTCTGCTGCTGCGTCTCGCCGGGAGCCCCTCTCTCCACAGGAGCTGCGCGAGTGGTTTGCTCGCCGCTGGAGGAGTGCTGCTGGAGCTGGAGCTTCGTCGACCGTCGAGGGTGCTGGTGCTGCCGGTCCCGGAGCTGCTGGGCCTGCGGGTCCTACTGGAGCTGGAGCTGCTGAGGGTGTTGGTGCTGAGACTACTGCTGTCTGTCCTGGCGGTGGTTCTGCTGCTGGTGCTGCTGGAGGTCCTGCCGCTGGAGGTGTTGGTGGCGCTGGTGCTGTCGCTGAGGGTGCTGGTGCTGTCCCTGCTGAGTCTGGAGCTGCCGCGCGGCCTCGGCCGTACTTCGTTCCGCTCCTACAGCAGGTTCTTGGTCTTTCTCCTTCGGTAGAGTGTCCACAGCCTGTCCAGTCGCAGTCACTGTTGGAGCCTTCCTCTCTTCTGCCTGCTCCCTCTCCTTACACTGGTCCTACTGGAGGTCTTGCTGAGCGTCGTGAGCCTGCGTCTCGTCCCGCGTCGCCTGTTCGTGCTGCTCGCGCTAGTGGTCGCGGCTCGCGTCAGCGTCCTCCTCCTGTCCCTGGCACGCACCGGATGTCTCTGCGTCCGTCCACTGCTCCTCTGCGTGCCCCTTTGCCCTCTCCTCCTGAGTCCTCTCTTCCTGCGCTTGCCGACCCTGAGTCGGACTCTCTTCGTGCTGCCAGTCCTACTGTCACGCGTCTGCTTGCTACTGTCGTCGCTGACCCCTCTTTTGAGTCCACTGCTGCGTCTGCTCTTGTCGCTGAGCTCGTCGACTTTGCTGCTCGCTGTCGTCTAGACTACGCTGCTAGTCTTGTTGCTGAGTCTGCGTCTGTCTGTCCTCCGTCCGTCGGGGGTGAGTGTGCTCTTGGCACGAACGTCCTAGAGGACAGGCAGGAGGAGTTACAGTGTCTGGCTGCTGCTTCACCTCATCTCGCGTCTGTACTGCTTGCTCCTAAGGGAGACCCGGATGCACTAGACATCCCGACTCCGCGCTCTTACGCGGAGGCCGTAGAGGGTCCCTACTCCTCTCAGTGGCAGGCAGCTATGGACGCAGAGATGGCTTCCTGGAAGTCCACAGGCACCTACGTTGACGCAGTTCCCCCTCCTGGGGCGAACATCGTCAGTGGCATGTGGATCTTCCGGGTGAAGCGGCCGCCGGGCTCTCCACCTGTCTTGAAGGCGCGGTACGTTGCTCGTGGCTTCAGTCAGCGGCAGGGAGTTGACTACTTTCAGACCTTCTCTCCCACCCCGAAGATGACCACTCTTCGGGTGCTGCTGCACATAGCCGCTCAGCGCGACTACGAGCTTCACTCTCTCGACTTCAGCACTGCGTTCCTGCAGGGTAGCCTGCACGAGGAGATCTGGCTGCGCCGTCCACCTGGCTTCACTGGGACTTTCCCTCCTGGCACCCAGTGGAGCCTCCGACGGCCAGTCTACGGTCTCCGCCAGGCACCGCGTGAGTGGCACGACACACTGAGGACTACGCTTGCGGCTCTTGGGTTTGCTCCGTCTACTGCTGACCCGTCGCTGTTTTTGCGCACCGACACTTCACTGCCGCCGTTCTACATCCTCGTGTACGTCGACGACTTGGTCTTTGCCACAGCGGACACTGCTGGACTCGCCTACGTGAAGTCCGAGCTGCTGAAGAGACACACGTGCACAGACCTGGGTGAACTGCGCAGCTACCTTGGCTTGCAGATCACTCGGGACAGAGCACGCCGCACCATCACCTTGACTCAGTCACACATGGTGCAGCAGGTCCTTCAGCGCTTCGGCTTCACGTACTCCTCGCCTCAGGCCACTCCTCTGCCTACTCGCCACTCGCTCTCAGCTCTGCCTTCGGATGAGTCCGTAGAGTCGAGTGGCCCGTACCCAGAGCTTGTTGGCTGCCTCATGTACCTGATGACCTGCACTCGACCTGACCTTGCATACCCTCTGAGCATTCTTGCACGCTATGTTGCTCCTGGGAGACACCGACCAGAGCACATGGCTGCAGCGAAGAGGGTATTGCGCTACCTGTGCAGTACGTCGGGCATGGGGCTAGTGCTTGGAGGGCGGAGTCCAGTGGTCCTTACAGGCCACGCGGACGCTTCTTGGGCTGACGACCAGGCTACGCAGCGGTCGTCACAGGGTTACACCTTCAGTCTTGGTTCCGGCTCTGTCTCGTGGCGGTCTACTCGTTCGTCTTCGGTTCTCAGCTCCAGTTGTGAGGCTGAGATCTACGCCGGGGCCATGGCTGCACAGGAGCTTCGCTGGCTCACCTACCTGCTGACTGACCTTGGAGAGCTGCCTCGTTCTCCTCCAGTGCTGTACGTAGACAACAAGGCCATGCTGGCCTTGTGTCGAGAGCAGCGCTTGGAGCACAGAACGAAGCACATTGCTCTCCGCTACTTCCTTGCTTGTGAGCTGCAGCAGCGTGGTCAGTTGCGACTTGCGTACGTGGCCTCTGAGGCCAACACTGCTGATGTGTTCACCAAGGCACTCGCGCCTTGTGACCATCAGCGCTTCTGCACCCAGCTGGGTCTTGTGCCTGTCTTGCCTCACTTGCTTTCCTCTTGACTTTACTTGTACTGTGACATATATATACATGCTCTTGCTTGTCTAGTCTTCTATATATGTCTGTACTCTTGCTTGTGAACTGGCCTCTGGCCCTGCTCTTGTGCTCGGACTGTGTGGTGACTTTGTGATCCACCCTGAGCTTGCTTTGCTTTGCTTTGCTTGACTGGTCTTGTGACCCCTTGTTCTCCCCCACTTTGCCTATGGGGGTGTGTCAGATTACTATAGCTGATGCATGTTTGTAGGCTATAGTGGGGTAGCACATATGGGGTACAGCTTTCTAGGGTTGTATTTGTATCCAACCCTGACTTAGTCATTTCATTCCTGTTTGCTTATTCTCACACGACCATCCCGAAGGCGGCGGTGTTGAGAAAGGCAGGCTACACGGGCAAGCGCGACGACTACCACCTCGGCCGGAGCATGGTGAAGCCCGACGACAAGGTGGTGGCCCTCATTGCCCAGCACATCTTTCCGTGGGCGGAAGCGGAACTGGCCAAGGTGAGCATTTCGGACGGCAAAAACGCCAACAACCCGCCGACCATTTCCACGACGACATTCTACCGACGGCTGATTGTGTTTGTGTTTGTGTTCGACTCGCAGGCGGTAAGGTGCGCATCCGCGAGAGAGCCCAACACGGCCGGGGTGCACTTCCTACAATCGCTCATCGAGTTCGGCCGCTGAATCGTTGTCGAGGATCTTGCGTGCATGCTGATGCGCGAACCGTGGCACCCGTACGTCAAGAGTTCCAAGCTCTGCCGCGACCCCGACTTCCAGAAATGGGCCAAGGACGTCAACCGGGTGGACCTCGAAACCATCGCGACGCGCAGTACTCCGAGCAAGAACCCCCAAGAGGTACGGCGTGCGCGTTCCGGCGACCTGTAAAACAAGTCGTCCTGCCACATTGCCTCACCTTTTGCCGACCATCCCCCTTGGATCGCAGGAATTCAGCGCGCGAGTTGACGCCGAATATCAGGTCGACCAGCTCACCATGATGCTGCACCGCCAGAGGGAGGATGCCGCGATCGAGAAGCTTGAAATGCAGAAGAATTTGGAGGAGAAGGACGCGGAGATCGCGAAGTTGATGCAGGCTCTCAAGCTGGCCGAGGCACGGCCGACGCCGACTGCGCCGGCACGGTCAAGGCCGATGACCGCCGCCGAGAAGGCAGCGTCCGTCAAGATCGAGAAGGAACAGAACGATGACCTGACGTACGAGGTCAACGTCGTGCATCCCTGGCGCACATCCAAGACGGTCGAGGCTGCATGGCGCTGGTGGAACAACCCGTCCAACTTTGACTCGCGTCCGTTGCGCGAACGTTACGACGAGCACAGATTCCTCGTCAGACACACGCGCATGATCTGCAAGGTCGAAAAGGGCGACAAACCCGCCGCGTCGGCGAAGTCGGCGAAGAGCTCTCGTCCCACGACCGAGGTGGGTGAGACGGGGAAAAACGATGCGCTGCAGCACTGCGCTCGCCGGATGAGGCGGATCATGGAAGCGGTGCACGACTTGCGGCGGAGCGACGACGCCGTTGACACCGCCGCCGTCATCAAGCTACTCGACCACCTGGGGCGAACGGGGCTTTCCACTTTCAGCGACGCGCTCTTGGTCCTCCGTGCAACCCCGCCCATCAAGGTCCCCACCACAGCCGACGGAAAGTCGGTCGGCATCAAGGGTGTGGACAAGCCGCTGGCGAGGAAGCTCGCCGTTGCGTGGGGCGTGGTCACGGCGGGCTACATGGACGCTGACTGGGGAAAGAGGCTCTTTGGCGACTTGTGGGATGAGCAGGCCAATAGGGCCGGCTTGGAGGCCGAGGCGACGGCGGGAGCCATCGGCGCAGGGAAGCGCAAGAGGGCGGGCTGAGGGTACTGCGTCTGGGTCCGACTTGTGCTGCTGGCTGGGCGTGGTGTGACTGAGGGTGGGTTGAGGGCGGGCCGAGGGTGGGCTAAGGGCAGGCTGAGAGTGGGCTGGAGGTGTGCTGAGCGTGTCCGACCTGTTCTAGTGATCCTATATGGTTTTCTTTTACTACCAACGTTGTTTCGACTTGTAAATTAGTAGAAGTTTGTCTCTTTTTCATGCATCAAACCGACTCCACACCACAAAACCTACTTCACAACGTTTCTGAAAAACTACCGACGAACAAGTTCAGCATCCCTAAGCCGGAGAGGCACAACAAAACAACAAAAAAGCACACGAAACCGGACACGTCGACCATGTCACGAGCGGTCGGGCCAGCGTTTGTAGGTCTTCGTCAGAAAGCCTGCAGCGTTTGCACCCAAGCCGACCATGCTACGAGCAGGCGGGCCAGCCTTCGTCGACCTAGGCGTCGGCGACCTGCTTCCCTTTGTGCTGCTGCCCCCTCGTCCCCCTGTCCCGAATGATAATCTTCATCTGAGGGTCGATAGGCAAATCGACGCCGCGAGCCTTGAGCTTTGGGCCTCCGACATTGCAGTCCCCCCACAAGGCGAGGTTCTCTATCATGACACGGGCGATCAGCTCGTCGTGCTCTCGCTCCTCTCCGACCTCAGGCAGCGACCTCACCACAGCCGCCTGCAGGTCCTTCGTCACCGTTTCGGTGACCTCCCCTACGACGACCACCCGGGAGGCCGCCCGCTGAAGCACCGCCTCGATGACGGTCCGACACCGACTCGCGAACTCGTTGGACGCTCCGCGCACGGTCGCTGCCGCCCCCCCTTCGCCGGCCGCTACTTCCGCCGTGGCATTAGTCTCCGAAAAACACCACACCATGGCCGCAGTACCGGCGAGGATCTCGGACAACCGCTCCGACCCGACGCCCGGAATGGGCGTCACTTTCGCGGCCACCGGTGCGAAGGCGGCACACATCGAAACGCGTGCGATCATGTCGCTCGCCACCTTCTTCTTCGCGGCCTTCTCGGGCTCGGTCGACTCCGGAAGGTCGCCGAACCACACCGCCGGGCGAAGAGCCAACATGAGAGCTGCGCGGTCGGCTCCGGTTATCCTGTTGTATTCCGCGACCACCTGTTGGAACCTGCAAAACACAGCAGGAATACCCATTGTCACTGACCGCCCCACGCGAACCGACTGAAACGAGCACCAAATTGAGCATTCGCCAAGCTTACCTGTCGCGGAAGACGTTCGCCCCTTGGCTCCACATGACCATCCACATGCCCCCCGGAATCAATCGCGCCACATTCCAGTCCGCCTTATACTGCGCCATCACTTCCTCCTTGACCCCACCGAACTCCTCGAGAACCACGTCGATGACAAAGCCGTCGAAGGACGAAACGGCGACAGCGATGTAGTAGGCGGCCTCAGACTTGTCCATCGACCGGCAGATGTAACGGCTCTTCTTCCTAAACTTCATCTCCGAGACGGCCAGCCCATTTGAAGGGTCAACGCGGACGCCTGAACCCTTCCGACCCTGCGCGGCCACTTTGGACGTCCCCTTGGAAGAGCCGACCTTCGCCGGGCTGCCCTTCGCCTTGTCCTTGCCCTTGCGCTTCTGCTTCCCATCGCGGTCCTCACCGGTTGTGGCCGGGGGGGATTTGGCGCCAGCCGCGCTATGGTCCTCCGCAGGAGCAGTCGAGGCGGCTGGTGCACCCTGTTGCGCTCACACGGTGGGAGCTGCTGCTTGTAGTTTTTCCTGCATGACCTCAATTTCCGGGTCCGGCATCACGATGCTGGCGAGGATCTCTTCGTCCACCCCGCCGGCCTCTTCCGCCGCTCTCCACACAGCCGCCTCCACCGTTGAGCCACTTGGCCCTGCAGTCGCCGCCGCGACGTTCGCTGCCTCTGCTCCTTGGTCGACCGCCTGGTTGCTGTGAGTCGGTAGAATTACCGGGGTTTTCTGACCCTGATCCTCGAGCCATTTCAGATACTCGTCGAACGATGGCTTTTGAGTGACTAGAGCCTCGACCGCCCGAGACTCAACAGCCGTTGGGATCGGGATCGGTTCCGCGGCGACCATGGCCCCATGAACGGGTAAGCTGGCCGCACCGGCAGCCTGCTGGACATGCTGTCCGACCACGGATGCTCGGCGCAAGAGCTCGTTGACCATCGCCGTGGCGCCAGCCGGACGCGCGTCCTGCGCAGTCGCCGGACTCGTCGCGGTGGGGGGATGCTAGCCCGTACCTGGCGGCCCGTCCTGCTGTCCGACCACCGCTGCTGGGCGCAAGAGCTCGTCTACCAGCGCCGTGACGCCAGCCGGACGCGCGTCTTATGCGGTCGGCGTGCTCATCGACGGGTGAAGATGCTGGCCCGCACCGGGCGGCCCGCCCTGCTGTCCGACAACCGCTGCGGGGCGCAGGAGGTCGTTGGGCAGCTGCGCTGTGACGCCGGTCGATCGCGCAGTCGGCGTACTCGTCGAGGGTTGAACATGCTGGACCGCAACGGGCTCCCCGCGCGCCTGGCCGACCACCGCTGCGACGTGCATGTCGTCTGCCATCTGGGCCGTGCCGCCGCTCGGTCGAGCGCCTTGTGCAGTCGCCGGACTGGCCTCGGGGTGTGGATGCTGTTCTGCCGTTGGCTGCCAGCACTGCTTCGCGACCACGGATGCCTCTCCCATGAGCTCGTCGGCCAGACTCACCTGGTCGCAGCTCGGTGGCGCGTCGTGTGCGCTCGACGGATCGGTCGGGGCCTGTGGCTGCTTGTCCCCCACGGGCTGCCCACCGGTCTTCCCGACCACCGACTGAGGATCCTGGAGCGCGACGTCGACCTGTCGAAAATCTTCGCTCGGTTGCGCGCCATGTCCATCTTTCAGCAAGTCGTGGACGCCGGGGATACGAACATACGGAGGGGCAGGAGGATCCACGCCCACACCGCGTTTCACCGCAGGTCCTCTGCTTCGCTTAGAGCCGCTGGTCTGGTCGCCGGTCAGGGATTTTTCGTCGGCGACCCTTTTCCCTGACTGCCTTGGGGCCGGCCCACTCTCCTCGGCGATTGCGCGACCGCCGTGCATCACCGACGCGAGAGCAGTTGGGAGGAGGCTAAACCCGGCGGTGCCAATGCCCTGTTGGGTCGCGGAGGTGACCGCCTTCACCAGGTCGTCCCTAAGCTCTTGGACGACCTTCGCAGTCACGGCAGCGGCGATCCGCTACGCCTCGCCCTCCATGGCGGCCTTCACCTCGGCAGACACGACTGTTTTGATCTTCTGGCCAAGAGCATCTGCCACACCTCGAAGCAGCAGGAGATCGTCCTCCCGTCGCCTACCCTGTGCAGCAGTAGCCGTCAAGTGCAGGGCCTGCACGGTGGGCAGCCACTGCGTGTTCATGAATTCTAGGGTGGAGCCGCGATAGCTCACCGCCTCCTGCACGACCGCCCTCATAGCGTCCACCGCCGTTTGGATGCTCCTCCCCGACGTCTGCTCGAGATGGGTCACGCCCTCGGCGACTGTAGTGAGCTTGTTCACGGCCGAGGTGACCACGCCGTACATCGTGTCGTTCCGGGCCGTCTGGAACTCCAGCCTCTTTTCCGCCACCAGCTTCTCCTCCCTTAGCTTCTTGATCTCCCTCTCCGCCGCCTTCAGGCGCTCGATAGCCGCCTTTGACGCCATCCTAGTCGGGGTCGAGCCACTGCTGCCCCGGGCCTTCTTGCCCAAATTGGGTCCGCTGCCGCCGCTCTTATCCGCAACCTTCTCACCGGCGAACTGTACTGCTTCCTCTTCGCCGGTGACAGCCACGTCGTCCTCCTCACGCTCCACGTCCTCCTCTTCTTCCGAGCCACCGTCGTGCTCCCCGCCCCCCTCGACGTCCTCCCTCTCGTGCTCCTCCTCCCCACCCAGAGCGATGGCGGTTCCGACGCCACGGGCCACGGTTGACGCCGCCTCCCCTTTGTTCGACGCGGCCTTCTCCGCGTGGTGCAACAGCTCCAGTCGGAGCACCTTCAAGCCGAACATCTTCGGGTTCTCGACGATGAGCGGATCGTAGCTGCGATGCACGTCGTCCAGATGCTCCAACGACCGCGCGAACGCGTTGACCGCCAACAGCCCCGTGCCGGCGACCTCCTCCTTGAGGATGTCGGGGAATTTCCGCATCAACATCCGAAGCACATGGCGCCGAAGAAAAGGGTGAGTCGACTCCTGGACGACGATAGCCCAGGCGACAAGGCGACATGGACGTTGGAAACTCACATCACGGATGGGGGCGGCAAGACTCTCCAGACGTTCGGAGAGGACTTTGGCGGAAGGAGGCGCAGCCGTCCACTACCTTCCCCCACGGTTCAACTCCGCCTTCACGCATTCGCCGAAAAACCTGCGCTACGAGACGGAAAAGAGCCATCAGACAAGGTGGCATGAACGCCGTTAAGGAGTGGCGCGACTAGCCGTCGACGTTGTCCCACCTCAAAACGTTGGCCGCCTCCTCCTCGTGCCGCTTGGAGGAGGTTTTGGGGTCGAGGTGGCGGTAGAGCGTCCCGATCTCCTCCTCGTCGGGCAAAAGCAGGTCGCCAGGGCGCACAACAAGTAGGACGCTGCAGTGCCTGCCGGGAAGAGGTCCGCCACTGCCCACACAAGCACGACGGAGACATTCAGGGTTCTGTCCGGGAACAACAAGCAATGCGGTCGGCGTGGATCAAACCTCACGGGCGCGGAACACTCACCCGGTGCACAGGGGGATGGCGAGGGCTTCGAAGCCGAAGGCCGACCCGAAAATCAGATGGTCCGCCTTCGACGCCGTCTTGGCAGCGCGAAGACTCGCACCGCGGATCAGGATCATGCTGTCGCCCTTTCCCAGACGATCGAGCTCGTACCTGGGACAACCGGGGGCGAAAAGGCGGGAGCGAAACACTTGCGCGGTGAGCTACAATCCATGCTGGGCGCCGGGGTAAAGCGCGGACAGCAAGACAAGCGGACTCGGACCAAGGTTTCGCACGACGGCGATGTCGCCGGCAGCATGACGGACGTCACCAACGTAGGGCCAATGGTCGAGGACAGGCAAACTAGTTAATAGGACGACGCAGCGCCAAAACGTCCATCGCAGACGGACGTCATCGACCACGCGGAAAAACGACAAGGCCAACGTCGACCTAGGAAGCACGCCGACGAAAACGCGCAGGACAAGGACGAACAACGCGACCTAGGGATGCGCGCTCACGCGAGGCCGAGGTCGAAGCAAGGTTCTGTGAACTCGGCCTTCTCGTCGCGAAGGACTTTGTAGTCCTTCATCTCAAGCGTCACCCCGTACCCACCGATGCCCACTGGCACGTGGAGGGGGAATTCAGTCGCAGGCAGTGCTATCCTACTGGTCGCCATGCTAACACCACGGTCGGTATCACGGAAGGTTTGGGGAGGAGCGCGGAGAGCTGACAGGGAGGCAGAGGAAATCGGAAAGCGAAGTTGGAAAGGAGAAATGACGGATGGAGTGGGACCCCCCATCAAGAAATGGGCGTGGGCCGTCGGTCGCCTAGTATGCAGCTCGGCGGACGAGGCAGGTCGTCGTGGTCGAGGGCGAGCCTCCGGCTTCGGCCCGTACCGGGCATGCCCTCGAGGGCGGGGTTCCGAGGGGCGGAGGTGGGTGGTTTGTGTGGGCCGTGCGTGGGGGTGGTCGGGGTGGCGAGGGCGAGCCACGTGTCCCCTCCCGAGGGGCCAGCGATGTTGACGAGGGTGGGGTCGGGCCCTTTGAATTTCGCAACCAACCCGCCTGCCCGGCGAGGGCAGCCCGAGAGGGTTACTAGGGCCTCGCGGGCAACGCGAAGCGAATGTCCGCCTCCGTGAAGGGGTAACTAGGCCCCTCGTCGCTCACGCGCGAGTTCGCCACCCGTCGGCTGCAACGTGGGGTTCTGTAGGAATTCGGGGTGGGGGGCCGGGGCGGGGGGCGTGGGCAGAGCCCCGCCCCGCGCCAGCCTGGTGGGGGACTCACGCGAGGGAGCTGGCCGCCCTGACGCTCGGTCGACCGTCACCCCCCTGCGTCGTTCCAGGCAAAACGGGTGCGTCACCCCGACTTCCGTTGAGCGATTCAGAACTAAAACTACTCTTCCATGTCAGCGGTACTCCTTTGCTGCATATCCACCTCATTACGACCTCCTTGTCTGCTGGCAGATGCTTCCAGTCATTATTACAAACAGCCACGCCATGCTTCTGTGCTGCCACTTGCCTTGCCAGGTAGTACACCCTGGCATGCGCGACAAATTTAACCACCGCCATACGCATCACTTTCTTCGGCTGAAACTTGATGTTCCAACGACTTGCATCACATCTTGCCAGCCATACCTGGTGTAGTGTGGTGGCAATGAACGAACTCTCTGGGAAACCAGACTTCATGCTCTTCTGCATGAAAAGCACGTCCTCCAGACCCTGCCAGTTCAGCAGCGGGTTCATCTCCGCCAGTCCTCTCCGCAGGAACCGCACCACCTTTTGAATCGCCGGGTAGCCGAGCAGGCAATGCTCCAGTGTCTCCTCCGCCTCGCAGTGTGGACAGACCACTTTTTCCTCCATAAAGAAAAGCCGCTCCCCTACTTGCAGATTCCTACAGTGCAGCCTCAGCAAAATTTCTCGTGCCCGGGCGGGGGTGGCGAGAGAGTCCCTCTGTTTGATGACCCCCTTCCACTCAATCACCCTCCCATCTCCAACCCACCTTCGCTGCTCCTTCACAGTGCGTGTCGAGCTAACCAGTCCCAACCTAATCTCTTTCAGCGGCAGCACCTCCCCGTTCTTGCATAGCTTGGACTTCAGGAGCTTTGTACGCGCTTCGCCGATTAGCCCCAACACCTTATCGCCTGTAGCCGCTACCGGCTCCCCACTGTGCAGACCGAAGTTAACTGAATATCTTCCATCTCCAGCGGTGAAAGTGCCGTCGGCGCCCTCCCGACACATCACCCCTGTCACCCTCCCGCTGTTCGCGCCCGTGACTTTCCAGAGCATGGGGCAAGACGCAGCACCTCCCTGGTACCGTAGCAGAGGAACTTTAGTAGCAATCTCCTCGCTTGTTAGAGTTTCCAACAACATCTCTCTCCACCTGGCCGGCGCCGCCCCGAAAGCCTTCAGAGCCAGCTTCGCCGCCTCTGCGCTGCCGAGCTCACTCGCCAAGGCCTCCTTGTCCTTCGGCCCCCGTGAGACATCTGCCCGGCGCCAGATCAGGTCGCCCATCGTCAGCCCCAGAAGGCGTGCCGAGCCCTTCTGATTTCCGAATGGGCTGGCTCCTCAGGAAGGTATGCGTCTGTTGAACGCCAACTGCTCTCGCTCCACCTCCCACCGATTCTCCGGCTCCGGGGTGACACAGAAGGGCGATTTCCAGAAAGATTGCACCACACCCTTCCACCGCTTGCTTCCCTCTGTCCAGTGCTTTAGCAGGGATTGGTGGGCGTAAATCATGTCCGGGCCCAGAGGCATCGCCGCCGCCCGCTCCGTCAGCCACTTCTTGATCGAGTTAGCTTGCAGCATCATGCGCCCGACGTTCTGCACCGCTATGCTGGCAATTTGTTTTTTGGGGCAAATCATCCCCAGCCCCCCCTCCTCCCTTGGCGTGCAAATCAGCTCGTACTTCCAAAGAATGAAGGCCTTTTCTTCTGTCGCCTCGCCCCCGGACACGAAGTTGTGGCATATCCTCTTGATTTTGGTCCATATCTCTTCTGGCGGCGGGTAGATGTAAGCTTGGAACATGAAGATGGGCGAGATGTACCCATTGATTATCGTAACTCTCGCTGTTGTTGTGAGGTGCTGAATCTCCCACTTGGCTAACTCCTTACGCGCCCTTTCCAACGCCTTTTCCCAGGACAGAAGCGAGTCACCGTTCGGAGTAATCCAGATGCCCAACAGCCACTCCGGTGCATCCTTGTCGGCCCATTTGTATTGCAGGCCCGCCAGCGGGGACTTCCCTCTATTCACCCCGAGCGGGAAGACCACCGTCTTGACTTTGTTTACTTTCAGCCCTGCTTCCTCCCCAAAGTTTTCCAGCGCCTCAGCCACATCAGCCAGCTGCTCTTCTCCGTTCAGCAGGAGCGACGTGTCGTCAGCGTACCCCAGATACGCCAGCCTATCCGCCCCGCCGTCGCCGATCCCCAGCCCCCGCCGCGCAAACTCCTGGCAGAGCAGCTCCACCGCACACAGAAAAAGGTATGGTGCAAGTGGGCAGCCTTGCCGCACCCCTCTTTCCACCGCAACTCGGTCTCCTGTCCACCCGTTAATGTGCAGCCTCGTTCCTGCTCCTGTGTGCAGGCCTTCCGCCCAAGACACGAAGATCTCCGGAACCCCCATTTCTCGTAACGTGCGGAAGAGGAAAGGCCTCGAGATGGAGTCGAAGGCCTTATGAAAATCGACCATCAGGAGGAACCAATCTTCCCTTCCGGTGGCTCCTGCCTCGATCGCATCCGCTACCACCGCGACAGCGTCCGCTAGCTTCCGTCCAGGTAAAAACCCCACTTGATCCTCTGAGATCACCTCATGCAGAACCCTCTTGAGCCTCGACGCCATTACCTTTGCCAGCACCTTGTAGACCGTGCTCAGCAAAGTGATGGGCCTGTAATTCCCTAACTCCTCTTTACTTCCCTTCTTATGTAACAGGATCGTGACTGCAGTTTAGATTTCCCGAGGAAGTTCCGCCGTCCGCGTGAAATCGCCGACGAACTTCATCAGTACCGGGCCCAGCAAGTCCCAGTTATGCTCAAACAGCTCCTTGGGAAGACCGTCCTGCCTGGGCGACTTCCCTGAAGCTAGCTCGCGTACCGCCGTCCGGACCTCCTCCTCCGACCACGGTGCACTGAGCGCATTCCGGCTGCCGTCGCACAACGTTCGGCACATAACTCTTGGCTCCAACGCGCTTGAGCCTGCCTCCCCACGCCCGCCGAAAGAGTCTTTGAAAAATTCAGTCGCCGCCACCAGCACCTCCCTCGCACCCGAGTGAGTTACCCCCTTGAAATTCACCGCTGACATCTCCGTCTGGGCCTTGCGCATTTTCGCTTTCCTAGACAGAAAACCGGTTGTCGTCTCCCCAACCAGCTCCGCCTTCACCCCGAGCCACTCTTGCAGCTTCTCCTGGTGGTTTTTTTCATACGCGTCAAGCAACTCCTCTTTCTTGAGCAGGATTGTCCCCGTTCGCTTGCAGTTCGGGCTTCGCGACAGCCGCTGTCTGTAGATTTTCACCTCCTTCTCCATGTGCCTTTTCGTTGCCCCAACTCTCTTTTTCTCCTCCCGTGTGTACGCCCTCAGGCACGCCGTTAACCTGGGCAACATCTTGCCGAGGTCCCCGCCTGCATCCTTGAGCACTCGCTCCACCCGATTCCTGATCCCTTTTTTCTTTGCTTGAGCAGCCCTCAGTCTCCAGATGCCAGGCCCCCTATCGACCGCCGCTGACGACTCCAGCGCGACCACCACCGCACACCAGTGGTCTGTCATCTTGTTTGTGATGTCCGCATGTCGCACCTCCACCATTTTTCCTAGCAGCGGCTGCGTCGCCAGCGCGCGGTGAGTCCTGGTGCTTACTCCTTTTGCCCTCATATGAGAAGTGTACTCCTTTTTCCCAGGGTGCGTAAAGCGGAAGACATCAAAAAGCAAGGTGGCCGCCCAGTATCCCATCAGCCTCCTGTTTTCCGCCGACGACCCTACCCCCGGTGACTTGTCCAGCGCTGGGTCCTCCACAACATTCAGGTCACCCATCACCAGGACACTCTGCAGCTTCGGTAAGGTTTTAAGAAAGGGCTCCAGGCAGTCCCTGTAGAAAGGCGCCCTGTTCTCCGGCTGTGCCGGTAAATATAACGCGACTAGGAGCAGCTCCAGGTCCCCCCAACGGACCACCACCCCCGCCAGTCTCCCTGATGCATGTGTATACGTGTCTGTGAAAAACTATCCCAGGTATGAAGCTCACCACTGCCACTCCTCTTGCCGACCCAGCTGGCCCCCAGCCACCACCGCAGACGGCTTCAGCTGGGTCCAGAAGTTGTGATCAGCAGGGATACGTGTGTTTGTAAGTACTGCAATGTCCGCCTTGTTCCTTATCCAATCTTTGCATTTCCCTTGCTTCCCTGCACTGCCAAGCCCGTTGATGTTGAGCTCGCAGAATCTAATCGTGTTCTTCTTATTCATTAAAAAATAGTTGAAAAGCCCCTTCGCATCCACGGGGTGAGAGCTGGTACATGACTCCTGATACACGCGCGCCGCTAGCACCATCCGCACCAAAGAGCTGCACATCATAGAGACTACTACTACAGTGACGACGACTTGTCAGAATCCCCAGGACAACGAGCCTGTAACCCTTCCCTAGGATCAATCGGGGATCACCAGTAGACCTCTGACATCCCCCCGCACTGGGATGCCCGAAGTGCACACGTTGAGATTCGAACCCGTGACCTTCGCTCTGATACCATGTCAGAATCCCAACCACTAGACCATTGGGATAAAAGGGCTTGTTAAGTAGCGGGTCAGTGCGCCCATAACCCCCAGGACAACGAGCCTATAACCCTTCCCTAGGATCAATCGGGGATCACCGATGATACAACTGACTTGAAAACTGAACTGCCATCCTTCTCCCCTCTATGCTTTTGCAGATGTGAAGCACTGGAGCAACAACGCCCAGACAACTACTTGGCGAATTCCTTGCGGAAAGCTCCCAGGTTGAGAGCACCCTTGTTGGCGCAAGTAGCTGTCAGAATGTTATTGTTCTCTAGCCTGCAGTGGGGTACTCTATAGCGAGTACAACCCCTTAGGGTTTCCTATATGTATCCTGTTGCTTTCTAGAGAACCCCCTTCTTCTTCTTTCTAAACTTTTTCTACTACCTCCTAATCTTCACATGGTATCAGAGCAGTTCGATCCCCTTGGGTCGATCCTGTGGGTGGGCTCACCACCTCACTGCTTCCGCTGCTACTGCTACTCTCTATGTTGCACGCCCCGTGGCGTGCAACGGATTTTTCATCCCGCCGCGCGCTCGGAGCGTGCGGCGGTTTTCTGCCCGCTGTGCGCCCCGAGGCGCGCCACGGTTTTCTGTCCGCCGTGCGCCCCGAGGCGCGCGGCGGTTCTCTGCCCGCCGTGCGCCCCGAGGCGCGCGGCGGGTTTCTGCCCCGTCACGTAGTGCGTCGCTCCCAGGAGGCGCTGCGACGGGCGACGGGGACCCGCGCGTCGCCCCCCGTCGCCCGTCGTGGCCTGCGCGTGGCCCGTACAGGCCCGCGCGCGGCCCGTACGGACTGCGTCAGGCCCGCGCGCGGCCCGTACGGGCTGCGTCAGGCCCGCGCGCGGCTCGGGCCGCCTGCGCGCGGTCCGGGCGGCTGTGCCAGGCCCGTGGGCGGCCCGTTCTTCGCTGCCCCTGCGCTGCCTGCTGTCCCCCGTGCCTCTGATGGCGCCCCACCCCTGCTGCTGCCCGTTCTCCTGGATTAGGGTTTGGGGGTGGGGGGTATGGGGGTGCAGCTTCTGTGTGCCGTCCCCTGCTCCTCCTCCTCCTCTGTCTCCCAGTGCTGCAGCTGCCGCTGAGGGGGGTGGACCTATTGGAGCCGTCGTAGTGGTACTAAGGGGGGTGAAGGGGGAGTGGAGCTAGGGGTGAAGCAGGGGGTGTGTGTCAGGGGGAGTGGAACTGTTTGGGGAGGTTGAACGGAGGTTGTCGTCGTGTCGCCAATAGCACCTGTAGTCCGGGGAGTTGCTCCGGTAGCCCAGTCGCAGCCAGCTGTGCCAGTCGCCCGTGGGTCCGTTGCTCATCTGCCGCTACTTTTAGCCGCGGAGCCAGTTACTCCAGTAGTACGGAGGGTTGTTCCGGTAGCCGCTATGCCAGTGTAACTCTTGTTGCCCGTGTGTCTGCAGCTTCAGCCGTCGCCTCCTATCTCCTCTCCTCTCACTGTCCCTCCTCCTCCTCACTTGCCCGTTGTGACTACCACTAGCTTTGCTCATAATTGTGAACTTTAAACTATTGCTTCTTGAACCTGTGCTCAAAATGTGTGGTGACATTGTGATCCACCCTGAGCTTGTTCTGCTTTGCTTGCTCTGCTGATTACACCCCACTTTGGCGATGGGGGTGTGTCAGAATGTTATTGTTCTCTAGCCTGCAGTGGGGTACTCTATAGCGAGTATAACCCCTTAGGGTTTCCTATATGTATCCTGCTGCTTTCTAGTGAACCCCCTTCTTCTTCTTTCTAAACCTTTTCTACTACCTCCTAATCTTCACCAGCACCGGGCTTGGTCAGGTTCGTCTTGTGACGAAGTGATGCAGCGTGAACAGATGCCTGCTCGTAGCTGGCACCCTGTGCTTTGTCGCAAGCAGCGACGACACACACCCAGTCCTCCCGCGACCCTCCTGTGGAGGTGAGAACGATAGCCGGGTCCTTGAGAATGTCCTTTGTTAACGCTATGACTTTCAACGATGCAGCTGCGGGGGAGGGTTGGAGCCGGCACGTCAGTACATGGTGAAGAACAAAAAGGGAGCGGCAAAGGTGAGAAATACAGGGCGCTGATACCGTTGATCGCATGAACCTTTGCGACAGATAAGGTCCATTTGCCGATGCTGGATTGACGCTCTGTGACATAAGCGTTGTGACACTGCGTCAGATGCTGACCCTTGCAGTAACCGCAGGTAAGCGCCGGGTAGTGAACCATAAGCTTCCTTCCGGGATTGGACAGATCCGCAACCGCATGACGCCACGGGTCAACATCATTCTCATGCACGAACACCAGGCCACGTATCTTGTCAGTGTCAATACCGGTAACAGGGTCCTGCATCCTATAAAAACTCACGCCTTTGCTGAACGCAGGCCTCCCTTTCTTGAGCAACGCGACCTCCGTCAGCATCTTACGGACCAGCTCCGGAGTGACGCCAGCCGGAACAGACTTCAACAGTGTCAAATATTATGCTCTAGCCTGTAGTGGGGTGCTCCATAGCGAGTACAACCCTTCTAGGGTTTGCTATTTGTATCCCCATTCTTGCTAGTTCAACCCTCTTCTTTCTTCTAAACTTTCTCATGCTATCAGAGCAGGTCGATCCTCTTGGATCGATCCTGTGGGTGGGCTCACCACCTCGTTGCTTCCGCTGCAACTGCTACTACTACTCGCTGTGCCGCACGCCCCGTGGCGTGCAGCAGTTTTTTCTTCCCGCCGTCCGCCCCGAGGCGCGCGGCGGTTTTCTGCCCGCCATGCGCCCCGAGGCGCGCGGCGGTTTCTGCCCGCCGTGCGCCCCGAGGCGCGCGGCGGTTTCTGCCCGCCGTGCGCCCCGAGGCGCGCGGCGGTTTCTGCCCGCCGTGCGCCCCGAGGCGCGCGGCGGTTCTCTGCCCGCTGTGCGCCCTGAGGCGCGCGGCGGGCTTCTGCCCCGTCACTCGGCGCGCCGCCCTCGGGAGGCGCTGCGACGGGCGACAAGGACCCGCGCGTCGGCCCCGTCACCGCCCGCATTGGCCCCGTCGCCGCCCGCAGCGGGCCCGTTGCCGCCCGCATTGGCCCCGTCGCCGCGCGCAGCGGCTCCGTCGCCGCCCGCAACGACCCCGTCCCCGCCCGTATCGGCCCCGTTGCCGCCCGTAGCGCCCCCGTCGCCGCGCGCAGCAGCCCCGACGCCGCCGCCCGCAGCGACCCCGTTGCCGCCCGCATCGGCCCTGTCGTCGCCGCCAGCGGCCTCGTCGCCGCCACTTGCGGCCCCGGCCCTGCCCCGGCCATGCATCGTCGTCAGCCGCGGCGCACCGGGGGCACGTGCACCGCCCCCCCCCCCCCCCCCCCCCTCTTTTCCCGTCGCCCGTCGTGGCTCTGGGAGGGGCGACGGGAGGGGCGACGTGGGGGTGGGGGCGAGCGTCGCCCCTTCTGCCGCCTACTTTGGTGCCCAGGGAGGCCGCGCGTCGCCCCCCCCCCCCCCCCCCCCGTAACCTTCTTACCCGCCATCCCGTCCTGCCCTGTGTCGGGTTTGGGGGTGGCGAGTTGGGGGGTGGCGGGTGTGTGGTCTCCCCTGCTCCTCCTCCTCCTCTGTCTCCCACTGCTGCAGCTTCCGCTGAGGGGGGTGGGTGTGTGGGAGTCGACAGAGTCGTGCTAGGGGGTGGGGTGTGAGTGACCCTAGGGGTGCAGTAGGGGGTGTGTGTCAAGGGGGGTGGGATAGTTTGGGGAAGCTGAATGGAGGTTGCCGTCGTGTCGCCAGCAGCACCTGTATTTCGGGGACTTCGTCCGGTAGCCCAGTCGTAGCCAGCTGTGCCAGCCGCCCGTGGGTCCGTTGCTCGTCTGCCGCTACTTTAGCCGTGGGGCCAGTTACTCCAGTATTCCGGAGCGTTGCTCTGGTAGCCACTGTGCCAGTGTGCCTCCTGTTGCCCGTGTGTCTGCAGCTTCAGCCGTCGCCTCCTATCTCCTCTCCTCTCACTCTCGCCTCCTCCTCCTCACTTGCCCTCTGCGATAGCCTCTAGCTTTGCTCATAATTGTTAACTTTAAACTATTGCTTCTTGAACTTGTGCTCAGAATGTGTGGTGACATTGTGATCCACCCTGAGCTTGTACTGCTTTGCTTGCTCTGCTGATTACACCCCACTTTGGCTATGGGGGTGTATCAGAATATTATGCTCTAGCCTGTAGTGGGGTGCTCCATAACGAGTGCAACCCTTCTAGGGTTTGCTATTTGTATCCCCATTCTTGCTAGTTCAACCCTCTTCTTTCTTCTAAACTTTCTCAAACAGCACCTCCACCGCGTCGGGGTTTCGCTGACGCTCCTTCTTGTAAGTTGCATGTTCAGGGTGCTGGCAGTTGAGCGTCAGAGTGACCCCCTTCCCCACATCGTGCTCAATGGAGCGTCGCCAGGCCGCAGGTGCATCAGTCGCATGCTGAAATATAACTTGAAGACGGACGTATCTCTTCTTAGACAGCCACGCCGGCAGCATTTCCTGGTACTTCGAGGTCGTCTGCGCGTCGGCCGTCAGCGAAGCCTTCCAATGATCCAGGTGCGCAATGACCGTAGGCTTCAACTTCGGAACCTCGCTCTCCCACTGGATAGGAATCAGAAGCGTAAGCGGAAAGCTGACTTGTGTCGCAAGCAGACTCACCGCAATCGGGTCAAAAACATCCTCGTCATCGCTGTCCCAACACTCATCTTCATCCACAACAGTGCTGCAACCCTCCGTCGCCGTCTCAGGTGCCATTGTGACAGGGATTTGCGATCCTCTCGGTTGTGGAGTCCTTGATGTATCCTCTTCTTTGTTGTCCTTAAGCCCGTTGTCCTTCAAAGCAGATAAACGCTCCTGCAAGGAAACTTTCGC